GCTCGAGATCTGATAAGATCGTTGAATTCACTGGCAGATGAAGTGGAGCGTGAACAGAGAAATATATGAAGCGTTCACCTCATAAGCGTTCTCCATGCTAAAATCAAACGTTCGAATGACCGACCGATCGAAAGTCTATCCGAACGTCTTGAGCTTTGAGCGTCTTACACTGCGGGTGACCCACGTGACGCCAGCGTCTTGAAATTAGCTGTTTTTTAAACATTTAAGGAGCCAAGCTGGTGTGTAAAGACTATAAATGGACATTGCAAGCATTACAATTTCCTGCATCCTGCTGTACTTCCCTGAATAAGTCTTTAAAGGTGTTGCAGGCTAATAAGTCGTTCTGAGTAATAAATTGAAAAAGCTCCCACCTGTATATGACTAAACAAAATAACATGTAGTTTACTTGAGCTTCTGTTATAAATGTGTTTATTAGAAACATTAATTTAAATTAATGAATTATACAAAAAATTGTTTTATTTATCATTATTGTAATGCTTGTAATGTCCATTTATAGTCTGGAATACTATGGCGTCCGAACGCCATACGCTTCATATATTTCTCTGTTCACGCTCCACTTCATCTGCCAGTGAATTCAACGATCTTATCAGATCTCCGGCCGCCATGTTTCAAACGATCCAAACGTAACACGCTTCCGCCAATCCCTGCCTTGAAGCAATGATTGACGGAGGGTTGGCGTGGTCAGCTCGGAATGCATTTTCAAATTGAATTTTGTTACAAATATCCCACGGCGTCATAGTTGGAAATGGCAAATGTAAATTATATAATTTAATTTTCATTTTACTTTTGCACCAAACTTTGCACGTATGGGTAATGGAAAATGTAAATTTAAATACAGAAATACAATGCCATTTTGAATATTGCGTTGCCATTTTCAATATTGCATTGCCATTTTGCATATTGCATTTTAAATTGAATTTCGCTACCTATATGCTTCCATACTTTTGAACTTTCTATTCATCGTAGAATTCTGGGGAAAACATACACACACACACACATAGAAATATTAAGCAGCAAAACTGTTTTCAACATTGATAATAACATGAAATATTTCATGAGCAATCAGCATATTAGAATGATTTCTGTCTTTTGACACTGAAATTCAGTTTTGCCATCCCAGGAATAAATTACATTTTTTTATCTATTTAAATAGAAAACAGTTATTTTAAACTGTACTTATATTTTACAGTATTACTGTATTATTGTATTCTTGATCAAATAAATGCAGCCTTGATGAGCATTGAGGAGTTCTGAACCAAAATTATGAATGGTAGTGTGCTTGTTTTAAACAAGAAATGAATTTATTAATAACTACATCATGTTAACTACTTTTTAAATATATTTTTAATTGTTAATTTGTCTTAATAATTATTGGATAATTATTATATTAAAAAGTCTTTGAGAAAATTATAATATTTAAAGGAGTTTGTTTTCAATCAATTAATTAATCAATAAATTATGTTGTGTAAATTAATGGCTTTAAGAACAACACCCGGTAAGAACAGTAGACTGAACAAACATGCAAACTGTAATCCTCCTATAGTTATAGTGCTCACTTTGCTGTTCAGTAAATAAGTTGGGGGAACATGTTGTAACCTAATTAATATTAATGAGTCATGAGTTGTCCCTCTACTTTTCAGAACATTCCTGACGACACCAATATTAATGAATGATTGAGAATAGGAAGAACTTAGCATCTAAGTACACACTGCCACTTATGCTTCTCAAATACCAATGTTCCTTTGATGCTGTAGAACCAAGCTGAACAGACTATGTGCCTACTTAGAGATCTAATCAGCGTCCTTTATTAAAATCAAAACATCTCATGAATATTTGTGCAACGCATTTCCATATTCTATGCATTTGTTCCACTGCAGGCGACAGGAGCCTGGAATACAACATTGTGTGACAATACATACCTCATCATAAGTGTACCGGTAGTCAGCTCTCTTTGATTTCAAATCCCACAGCACTACGATCCCAGACTCAAATCCTATTATGAGCTGAAAGAAGAAGAAAGATGTGGGGGGGGGCAAGAAAGGAAGGAAAATATGCTGTGAGTCTGTTGAACCTGACCTGTAAACTGATGAGAGTTCATGGAGGTGGTGACGTAAATCTGAAAGTAAATGATGTGTTTCATCAAATAAAACATTAAATAGCTGTTTGCGAAAATTCAAGTCCTTTTTTCTGATTGTTAATCCAAAACAAACCTTTCTTCATTCTCCAACAAAATCAATGAATCAGACAAAACATTCTGCTCAAAACATGGAAGAAATGTGCAAGTTGTTATCACCATAATCCAACTCTACATTTTTTATGAAAGAAATGGCTCACCAGAAAATGAAAACTCTATCATTTACCAGTCATTTACCCTCGTCATTTCAAACCTGTCTTTTTCTGTGAATTTTCTTCCTTTCAGACTTAAATTTTATCCTGTACTGCACAAAGTTACTGTATGACTTTTAAGATGCTTTAAGGTGTTTTTTTTAAGCTCTATAACTTCAGTCCTGAGTTGTAAATGCATGAGAATGAGTGGTCAGGAAATTCATCAAAATATCTTTTAAAAATTACATGTTTCCTGTAATCTGAGCTCAAAACCTCTTTGTTTTTAAAGATTCAGTGATAGTCTATGAATTGATAAAGTGTCAGAGTTCTGTCAGTCAAGAGGGAGGGACAATGTGTCTAAGGACTTTAAGACCCATTAAGAACTGAGTGGACCTGTTATGGATCGATGCCCTGTTCAGGGGCAGAAGTGGGAAGGGAGAGAGAGAGTGGATCATCACTGTAAAGGCGCCTATGAGGAGCTACCAGCTGCCAGAGAAAGAGACAGACAGTTTTGGGGCAAAACACCAGCAGGTGCGCACCGGTCTCTCTGCTCCCCTCTGACTGTGCGCTGGCAATTAGCGAAGGTAAAATGAATGTCTAAAAAGATGTATTTGGAAGTAGCTGGAGCATTTGTTCATCTCTTCATATCTCCTCGATCATTTGTTTTCAAAAACAACATAATTTGCTAACAAGCTGTGTGAGATTAGACCCAATTACTAAACTGTGCTGCACTGTAGGAAAGAAATGTCTTATGAGTTCAGAATGGAAAAAAACAAGAGCTTTGTGTGAAGTAAGGGAAATGAATTATTCATGTCAGGAAGTGTTGATTTGTTTTCATGTAGTTGTGTAGGCATCGCCTTACCTTGCCCTCATCCATAGGATTGTCACTAATGTGAACGACTGGGCCGGGGTGGGCCTTGGAGGACCTGTGAAAGAAAGACAGGTTTGGGATTGGTGTTAGGCGAGGAGACAGGATCGGGGATAATGAGAAATACAGTATGAAGACAGTGAGGAAAGGATCCTTGTGGATGTGTGTGTTTGACTGTGTGAGATAGAGAGAGACTACTGTTTAAAAGTTTGGGGCTGGTAAGATTTTTTTTAAAAGAAGTCTCAACCAGGCTGCATTTATTTTATCAAAAATACAGTAAAAACAGTAATATTGTGAAATATTATCTTTTAAATATTATATTTTAATTAATAATTTAAAAAAGACTTCCAACTTTTGAATTGTAGTGCATGTTGTAATTTATGTGGTGTGTTTATGAAAGTGATGAGTATGTTTCCCGGCATGCACCAGTTCAATTGGATAGTTCGGTATGCCATACAACTCATAACTAAAAACAAAGATTGTCATACAGATCCATTATCAAATTAAATTAATTTCCAAAATTAATAACTGTATATATAATAAATCATTTAATATTAATCTCTATTGGACGACAATTCCTTTCAACACACACCAACACTCAAATACACACTTATATATGACCCTCTAACTCTAGCACTTTCTATTGTATTTTAATTCTACTTTATCTATATTTATCTTCTTTTTTATATATATATAAAAAAAACACTAGCTTTCTATTTTTTCTATTCTATCTACTTGTTTTTCTTTGTGTGTGTGTGTGTGTGTGTGCATAAGATATATATATATATATATATATACACACCTTGCTACGTGTACTGCGTTAGGCTAACCGAGACTTGTCATTTGCACTTATATATTGTTGCTCTTTTGTTAGTTTTGACTGCTTTTATTGTCCTCATTTGTAAGTC